CCGCGGCCGGGCCTGGGGCCGGGCGGCAGGGCTGGGGTGGGGGCCGGGCCAGCCGGAGCGGGGGTCCTGGGCAAGGACCGGCTTAGTTGGAGGCCGGAGCGGAAAAGACTAGAATGACAGGCGGGCCGGAACACGAAGACCCACCGAAAAAACGCTGGTACTACCGTTGCCTCTGCCTCTGCCGCAGCTCTCTGATGGGTCCGCGCTGCTTACTGGCGAGGAGGGCGCCCCGCTCTGCTTTTATGGCTCCATGGCGGACCACGTTGAGAACAACAACAGGCTGGTCCGGAGCCAGCGCCAACTTGTGCTTCTTGGAGCCCCTTTCCCGGCGGCTGGCTTCGCGGACCGCGCCTCCCTGGCGCCACCGGGTCCACAGCCACTCGCCCCGAACAGGGCCCGAGCCCGCGGCGCAGCGGAGAGGCGGCCTGCGCCCAGAAAGGGCTCCGCAAAGGGGAACGGAGGGGTACACCGTAGACTGCAGGAGCGCGAGAGGAGGGGGGCACCCCATTTGGAGGCGAATAGCGCAGGCCTCAGGGGAGGCCCCATGGCCCGGAGCTTTGCAGTCGGCAGCCGAGAGTGCGCCACAGGCACCCAGACCCTGACCGCATCCAGGGGGCCCCGGGCCTGCCCGCAGGACTAGCTTTAATTCGTCCGAACTAACACAGGGCACGCCCTCATGTGGTTGGCTGGGCAATGTGAAGTGAGCTACGACATCTTCTAGGGGGTCTCCGCCGGAGTCTAAGAGGATGGCGAATGGAGGCACCCCCAGCTGCGCGCCCAGGGTCTTGTTATGCCTCAGGGGCCCTGGGCACCACACGGGAGGAAGCAGGGGACGACCAAAGGTACCTCTTTGGAGACGAGACATTCCCTAGCCGCCCCATCCCCTGCTGCTGATGCCCCAAGTGTCCCATTTTGTGGTGCACAAGTAGCTGCCATCGTTCCCCCCAAAGCCAAATGGTGGCTCCAGGGTGGGGTAGAGTGGGCAATCTTAAGGCTGCGACCCGCTGGAGGACTTCCCGGAGAGGGTGGGGGATGGGGAGTTGCTCTTAGCTCCGGGCCACATCCCTCCCCCACTTGTATGGGGAGGGCAATTGAGAGTGGGTCCGCTCCCAGCTCTCAGGGTGCCAGACAGAGTCCTCTGCAGAAGCTCATGCAAGTCTAGCGGCCCTGAGCTCTGTTGGGTCCAGTAGTGGGGTGCGGAAGAGGTGCCGGACAGTCTTTATGGAAGCCCAAGAAGCCTGCACTTTGGGCAGCTGGGACCACGGAGAGATACTCAGGAGGAGAGCGGATGCTTTCGTGGTAAGTCGTTTTAGGCCTGGACCTTGGGGGTCGCAGCAGAGGTGCAGACAATAAACGTTCCCCTGAGGCCCAAGCATGGAGGGGTAGGTGGGACTGGAGGCTAGAGAATTGGGGTTCCCGGGGTGGGGAGAGCTGGAGGCCGGGAGGTTCCAAAAGGGGGTGGTGTCTGTCCGAGCCTTCTTGCACCGCAGTCATCTCTGAGGAGGCGTGGTGGTCCCCTCCCCTCTTGTTGGCACTCACCCCTTTCACAGCTATTGCACAGACCAAGTTTGCTCTCCGACAAGCCAGTGAATAAGTCCCAGGAGAGGAGGAAATTAAGGCTGGGAAAGGTGAGACTGGGTGTTTTTCTTGGGGGGGGTGGGTCTCATGGGCATGGAGCCATTAAAGGACTTAGATCCCCAGGGCAGTGAGGGAAAATAGATTGCAACCCAGGTCCCTGCAAAGAAGGCCAGGCTACTTTCCCAGGAAGGAGGACCCCCTGAGTGGACTGTTTGCCCAGGGCCAGGAAAACCTTGAGGGCCTGAGACCTCAGCCAAGATGAGGAAAGACCATGTGAACTTCCTAATAGAGGGGGAGTGGGTTTCTGAAAAAGCCCCTGAGCTGAGCCCTGGGGGTGGCACTGGAGAGCCAGAAGGGTCTTGCAGAGACTGCATGGCTTGAACAAAGACCTCGAGATCCGAAAATGGAAGGTGTGTGCAGGCCGGGGTGCGTGGGGGATGATGTGCAGTGAGAGAGAACAGGCAAGATGCAGATGCTGCTGCCTCCTGAGGCGTGTCTCTCCGGGAGCAGAAGCCGTGCTGGGGACGTGGATGTGGTGGCCCTAGCGGGGTGGACCAGGGTGCGTGAGGATGGATGGGAAGGGGACACCCAGAAGAGAGCTGCCCAGGGAACCAGGTCGGGGGGGCCTGAGCTTGGGTCTCTGACAGGTCAGAGGGAGAGAGTGTGATTCCACTGATGGAACTGACAAGAGATTTTCACATATTGAGGTATATGAGGTAACTATTCGGGTTCAAAACTGATTCGGCTTGTGCTGACGGCTATCAGCATAGACTCTCTGCCCAGGGGTCATCACATTCCTAAGGAACTCAAGAGAACAAAGTTATCAATTTATACCAGCTGGGAGGGGCCATAAAATCCACAGGGCATGTCTGGACTAGTTAATCAGAGGTCATTCAACGTTACAATAGGGTTTTTTTTCTACAATATGGCTTCCCTTATGTCAACCTTGTGTTGAGCTGGTATCAAGTGGACTGATCCTTAGAGCGGACAGGGTTGGCAGAGCTGAGGAGACTAGTGAGCGTCCAGCCACTAAGGCCGAGCTCACTACCGCGAGACCCTAGTTGGACTCTGCCTGTTTCCCCCAGTGTTTTAAAAAAATACTAAATTAGGGTGTTTTGAAAAAATACTACATACTAAACACAGCCCGGTGGCGAAGTGGCTAAGTTCGCACTATCCGCTTCAGTGGCCCCGGGGTTCGCAGGTTCAGATCTCTGGTGCAGACCGACGCACCACTTGTCAAATCATGCTATGGCGGCGTCCCATATAAAGTAGAGGAAGATGGGCATGGATGTTAACCCAGGGCCAGTCTTCCTCAGCAGAAAGAGGAGGATTGGCAACAGATGTTAGCTCAGGGCTAATCTTCCTCACACACACACACAAAATACTAAATTAGTTCCAGGATTAAAAAATCAGGAAATTTCAGATAAAAATGCGTCCACATTTCAGATTTCCCTTAAAAACATCTGAAGATTCGACTGAAGAGGGGAGTGGTGAGCAGGCGGGATGAGGCCTGAGCATTCACCTCCTCTAGATGGGCTGGACTCCCAGCACCAGGTGAGTGAAGGAGGAAGTGCCCCCAGTGTGGGGCAGAGGGGAGGTTCTTTAGCCTTGGAGGAGCCTGGCCAAGACTGAAGGAGAGAAGAAATCAGTGGAGGGAGTGGACACAGGTGGGCAGGGCTGTGTGGCCCAGGCCATGAGGGAGGACACAGAAGACACAGCTCCAAGTCCATACCAGCCCTGGTGGGTTCTTTGGCCTGGCAGTGGAGGGAGCACTTTTGCCAAGAGGGGAGCTGCCTGTGGACCTGTGGACCAGGGCTTGGGAAGGCTCATTCCAGGCTTTGGGAGCTGGCAAGGGACCGAGTGGTTTTGTCCCAGTGGCCTCATTATACAGATGAGGAGACTGAGGCCTGGGGCTGGGCAGGGGGGTAGTGGCTTTGTCCAGTTAGCCAGGACTCTAGGGCCAGGTCCCACCAGCTTCCAGGGATGCCTCTCAAACCCCACATTGCCAGGTAGCCCTCCTGCCACCCCTCTAAGGAAATCATAGGTGGAGAAGGCCTCAAGCAGCCAATGAAAAATGACAAAATACAAAAAAAGGAGCACCTTGAAGTGGCCAGGCCTCACAGACACCCCTTCCCCAGGGCCGGGCCCATCTGGAGGAGGCTCATGGGGGCACATGGTGCCTGTGGGTGCAGAGTCAGGGGGGCCCTCTCTCTCCAGAGGAGCTCGTCCAGGCTTGGGGCTCTGACACTTCCTGCACTGATGACACCCCTGACTTCTGTCTCTCTCCAGACCAGCAGACCCGGCACCAGGCCGCCTGCCCTCCTTTCCACCGGGATGTCTGAAGCCCTTCCCTGCTGCCTTGCAAACCTGCTGCTCCCCAAACTCTCACAAACAGCTCTAGTCTGAAAGCAGGGGCACCCCTCTGATTTCTTTTTTCCTCTACCCTCTCATCCAACCCATCAGTGCCTGTCAGCTCTACACCCAGAAGTGGGTCCCACATCCATCCGCTTCTCCCCAAGCCGCCGTGGTCTCCACTCTTCCCCTCTGCCTCTCCCGGCCTCCACACAGCAGCAGAGGGAGCATCTAACACAGAAGTCTGATCCCTGCATCCTGTCTCTGCTAAAAGGCCTCCAGGGGCTTCTCATTAGATTTAGGATTAATCTGTACTCAGCCACACTGGCCTTTGTGTTCCCGCTGCTGCCTGCGGGGCGTTCCCTCCTCAGTGCCTCTGCACTTGCTGTGTGGCTGGCTCCTTTCATTCAGATCTCAACCCCTAAATAGCTCCTCGAAGCAGCCCCAGGGCCGGCTGTGGTCAAGTGTCTCCCTAGCATCCCTATCACGTCCCCTGCTTCATTTCTTCCTAGCACTTATGACCGGCTGACCCCATTTTGCCTCTTCACTCGAGTGCTGGGAGCTAAGAGCAGAGCTGGGTCTGCCGTGCCCCCTGTGTGGCCCCATCCCTGGGCACACCCTGCCTGGCTGACAGCACCTGCTCACTGCTCCCTGCGGCCTGAAGACAACACAGGTCTGCCTGCAAGTGGAACCCCGCCCCCACCCACCATGGTGCCCAGGAAGTGGAGGTGGTCCCCCTTAACCCCCGCTCCCACGCAGGCTTGAAGGGCCATCAGGCTCCCTCCACGCTAGACATCTGGGAACTCCTTTTTATCTCAGTGCCCACTTTTTTGTTTTTTGAGAAAGATCGGCCCTGCGCTAACATCTGTTGCCAGTCTTCCTCTTTTGCTTTTTTCTCCCCAAAGCCCCAGTACATAGTTGTGTATCATAGTCGTAGAGTTGTAGCTCTTCTATGTGGGACGCT